TACAAGTGCCCAGCTTACAGGGAACATTGTTTTTTAGTGCAGAAGGGGGCTCGGAACGGGAGGTTTGGGTGGAGGCGCAGGGTCTAGGCAGGACCGGTGCTGGGCCAGGCTCAGGACTGGGGCTCAGGGCTGAGGCATGGGGTCTAAGAGGGAGTTAGGAACTTAATGTGCAGGAGGGGCCTCAGGGCTGGGAAAGAGGTGTGAGGTCTGAGAAGGAAGAGGTGTGGCATGCAGGAGAGGGCTTAAGGCTGGGGCAGGAAGTTAGGGTGCAGGGCTCTTACCTGGGACACCTCCCCTTTAGTGTGAGGGGAATGCAGGAACTCAGTGTGGCCTGTGCTGCCCTGCAAACATTGCCCTCTGCAGCTGACATTGGCCAGGATTCCCAGCCAATGGGAGCTGTGGGGGCAGAACCTGCGGGGAAAATGGTGGCTCCAGCCCAGCAGGGGATGTGTGTGGCACCACTGCTTCGCCTCTTCCCTCTCTGACCCCACTGCCACCATGGCTGGATAATGCTCAGGGAAATTAGTGGCTGCAGCCCAGGACCCTGGGCTAAAGGGGCCTTGCAAAAAGATCTGCACTTTTGGCGGACTGGAAATCTTTTTGCAAGGTCCCCCTTAGGCTTGGCTTTTTCTTAACCTGGCCCTGTTCGGATACTTCTGTGCCACCAAAACCTAAATAGACAGATCTACATATTTACTTTGTACTAGAGATGACCCTGAGCTAAACCTGATTTCAACTTCATGACTGATCTGGGGTGTACCATGCACCTCCAAACGTCAATGGGTTTGAAATCCAGATTTAAATTTTGCAATGTGGGTTTATGTCTACTTTATATATTCAGTATATGGATTTTAAATATACAACAGGCAGGTATGCCCAGCAGGCCACTGCTTCTGTCAGATGTCTTATCCAAACATGCTGTAAAAAGCCTGGTTTACAGACCTTGTACCAGTATATTTATGTTGGTTAGAAGTTTGATTTTTTTATTTTTTATTTTTTTACTAATATAGCTATACCTGGTAAAACCCCTTCAATGGATACATTTATAACCAATATAAAAATTCCTGGTATCAGTGTAGCTTATTCCCATTCTGTATAGGAATAAATAAACTATATATTAGAGAGATGTGATGGATGAGGTAAATTTTTTTATTGGACCAACAAATGTTAGAGCTTACACAGATCTCTTCTTCAATTCTGTGTAAGCTTGAAAGCTTGTCTCTTTTACCAGCAGAAGTTAGTACTACTCACCCATCTTTTCTCTCTAATATTCTGTGACTGACAAGCTCCACGTACATGGCATACTATACCTGTCTGTTGCAGTGTTGTTGTAGCCATTCTGGTCCCAGGTTTTTAGTGAGCCCTGAAGAAGTTGTTTCAATAAAATATATTCTCTCACCTTTGACATTCCACGGGGGAATGGCACACTACAGCCACTTAGAGCTGGAGGGGAGGAGAAGGTTATGCCTGTGGATGATCAATGCCAGCAAAATGTCTCCCTGCTCACCAGCAGATTACCCTAATGGGCAGAGTCAAAGGCTGCTGACTAGTATGGATAAGGCTTAATTCAAAGCAGAACTTGGGCTGCAGCTCCAAGACCCAGTTTCATTATTATAAGCAGCCCAAGTTCTCATCTGGTTTATATACAACTAAATGGGAGAATGGTGCCACTCAAAAGATCAGGGAAATCTGTCAGATATATTGTAGTGCGGATGCTGCACACATCACACATGCATTGTGGCATAAATGATGTGGTACATTCATACAAATATCTGTCTACTGGGCTATGTCTAGACTGCAGGCTTCTTTCGAAAGAGGCTCTTTCGAAAGCATCTTTCGAAAGAGCCTCTTTCGAAAGATCGCGTCTAGACTGCAGGCGGATCTTTCGAAAGAGCAATCCGCTTTTTCGAAAGAGAGCACCCAGCGAGTCTGGATGCTCTCTTTTGAAGAAGCCCTATTTACATTGAAGAACGCCTTCTTTCGAAAGAGGAACTTTCGAAAGAAGGCGTTCTTCCTCGTGAAACGAGGTTTACCGCGTTCTTTCGAAATAATTTCGAAAGAACGCGGCTTGAGTCTGGACGCAGGGGAAGTTTTTTCGGGAAAAAGGCTACTTTTCCCGGAAAAACCCCTGAGTCTGGACACGGCCCTGGAGGCTGGACCTGTTTCACAGCTTATTTAGTAGCTTTTCCACCCCTCTTTCTGAAACAAGGAAATCAGTGCAATATCAACAGTTGACATGCTGTGTTGAATTAAGTAGAAAAACAAAAGCCAGACATAATAACACATCTTACTTTGTCTATGAGAAAGTTATTCTCTGAATCATTCCTACTCTCCCCATAGTCCAGCAGAAAATGTCACAGATGATTATATACCTCTGGGTGTGGGGTAGGGGTTCTCTTTATGTGGTAAATCTTGTCCTTGTTTGCATTTCACTAGAAAAGTTTCCCAGCAAACCACTTTCTGCAAGGGTGGTGCCCCTCGCAGTTCTGCCTTTGTCTTGGGTCATTAACCACTAAACTGGCGATAAGTTGCTAATAATGAGGGTTTCTCTGGATGTGCAAATTGGAAAATAAGGACACCCAAAGGAGGGACTCAGTCCTGCTGAGGGGGATTATAGGCCTTATGCATGATTTACAAAGTACTTTTAAAATAGTCGATTTTTGGTGACACTCTAAGAGGTTATGTCTACACTGCGGAGCTATTTCGGGATACCGGAAGTATCCTGAAATAGCTATTCTGCATCTTTTGAGCACACCCGTTATTTCAAACTATAACAGGCTCACTATTCCAATGTCCCTGTAAATCTCGTTCCACAAGGGTTAAGGGACGTTTTGGAGTAGTGCTTTATTTTGAAATTTGACCCTGTGTAGACAGGACCAAATTTTGAAATAAGCTATGTAGATATAGCTTTAGAATGTATCTCACCATAAGAACAACAGTGGAACAGTAACACTACTAAGGCTGTACAGCTGTAGTGCAGACTCTTGGTACAGAGATAGAGGAGGTTTCTATCCCTGTAGTAATTCCACCTTCTTGAGAGAGAGTAGTTAGGTCAAGGAAAAAATTATTCCATCCACATAGTGGTATTTATACTTGGTTTGGGGGCGGGGGGGGACTTAGATAAGGCTACGTCTACACTGCATTTTCATTGTTAAAACTTTTGTCGGTCAGGAGTTTGAAAAAACCAGACTCCTGACCGACAAAAGTTTTAACAACAAAAAGCACTGTGTTGTTGGGCAGGAGATGCTCTCTTGTTCACAAAGCTACTGTCACTCCTTGGGCATGGTTTTATTTTGCTGGCAGGAGAACTCTGTAGTACCATGGAATGAGGAGTAACGGTTAATCCAAACTAAGGATTTATTTCAGATTAACATTAAACTGCTGCATGTAGCCACGGGCAGTTCGTTCGGACTAAGGGGGATTTAAAAATGGCGGCCCGACGGGGACATGCAAATAAAGCCCGGGTTATTTAAATCCCAGGCTTCATTTGCAACCCCGGTTTCCTGATTTGCCTACCTAGCTCGAATTAACGAGCTAGTGTAGACATACCCTAAGAGCTTATGTGAACAAGAAAACTGTTGATCAGCTAACATAGGTCTTTTCTATATAAGAACATTTTTAACAATGATAATTATATAGTTATTCAAGTATGGTTAGTGTTGTAAAGGCATGGTTTCTTGTACAGACATTCTTTCTTCGGTTTAAAAGTGTCTTAATTTGGTTTAGCTTAAGCCAATTCCTAATCGACTTTAGCTGAAAGAAAATAAAGTAGGTTTTAACTGAAAAAAAAAGTGTCTATTCAGAGGTTTACAACAGTCTAACTAAATTAGTTTAAAATCACCTTTAATTAAACCAGAGTAACTTTCTTGTGTAGACAAAGCCTACTTGCACTTCGTCCCCACTTATTTGCAATCTCGCCATACAGGCCAAAAACTAAATGGCTGTGTCTACATTGGTGCGATCTCACGCAAAAGCAGCCGCTCTTGCGCAAAAACTTGCTGCCTGTCTACACTGGCCGCGTGTTCTTGTGCAAATAAACTGACGTTCTAATGTATAAAATCAGGGCTTCTTGTGCCAGAACTCTGATGCTCCCGCTCAGGAATAAGCCCTCTTGTGCAAGAGCTCTTTCAGAAGAGGCCAGTGTAGACAGGCAACATGAATTTCTTGCACAAGATAGCCCTGTGGTTAAAATGGCCATCAGAGCTTTCTTGCGCAAGAGAGCGTCTACACTGGCATGGATGCTCTTGCACAAAAGCACATCTTTTGTGCAAAAGCACATGCCAGTGTAGACGCTCTCTTCTGGAAGAGTTTTTGCAGAAGAACTCTTCCGCAAAAGAGTTTTTGCATGAGAATGCGCCAGTGTAGACGTAGCCAATTTGTCTGGAAAGTGTACTATCCTCCCACTTCTTTGGCATTCTCTCCAGGTCATGATCAAAACACATTAATGGATCCATGCCGGGGGAAGCTGTCACTTCTGTGGATAGAGGCCTTACTCTATAATAAATAATACATTTATTAATAATAGCCTTTTACTGATAGCTCCTCTATACATACACCTCCTTCCAAAATGAGAGCATTAAATGTTTTATTTTTCACCGTGTATATCCTTATCAGGAAACAACCTCGGGCCATAAAAAAGATCCCAGGTGTATCAGAGACCCAGATTTGCTACTGGTACTGACTACCTGAAACTGCTGGGATAGGATAGTCAGAGTCTTGTGGATGGGCTCCTTAAATGCAAACAAAATGAGGAATGCAAACCTCTGTTATGAACAGCTCCTGAATTACCCATCCTGCCCATCTCTTATCTGCCAGTGCAGAATTGTTCCTTACAATATATCTTTCCATCCTGTTCTCAACCTAATTTTAAATGTCCTGTGCCACTGGGCTCACACCACTTTCCATTGCTGTACAGTCTAATAGGTCTCCCCATGAAGGGTTCTGTATTTATCAAAAGAGGTTTGTCTTTTGTTAATCTTCTTCTCCTCCTGCTCCCCCAGGTAGTCGAGAGGCTGCATTCACCTATGCTGTTAGTGCCGCAGGCGTGGTGAACGCCATCAGTCGTGCCTGCCGCGAAGGGGAGCTTTCCACCTGTGGCTGCAGCCGGACAGCCCGCCCCAAGGACTTGCCCCGCGACTGGCTGTGGGGTGGCTGCGGGGATAATGTGGAGTATGGCTACCGTTTCGCCAAGGAGTTTGTGGATGCCAGGGAGAGGGAGAAGAACTATGCAAAAGGGTCAGAGGACCAAGCTCGCACGCTCATGAACTTGCAGAACAATGAGGCTGGTCGCAGGGTAAGCTGTCCTTTTGTTTTCGTTGGAGCAGAGGCAGATCAAAAACTCATTGTGTGTTTGGGTGTCAAGTCACTCATGATTGGTGATGAGGAACAGTATTAGTCAGCTATGAGCCAGAGGATAAACCAGTAACTGGCTTGGTATGGTGCATGTTCCTGGTTTCACCATTCCTTTGTGAATCCTACAGTGAAGATCAGTTTTCCCATTATTTTGCCTAGGATTGCTGTCCAGCTAATCTGACTTATAGTTACCCTGGTCAGTCCACTTGCCTTTTTTGAATATTGGCATAATATTAACTTTCTCTCAGTTTTCTAGAATTTCCCCAGTATTCCAAATTTTGTTGAAAATGAACATCAGTGGGCCAGAGAGCTCCTCAGCAAGCTTTAAGACTTTTGGGTGCAAGTTATTCAGGCTTGTTGATTTAAAAATGTTTAGTAGATGTTGTCCACTATCCCGCTCAGTTACTAATGGATTAGAAGGTACTTATGTATCCTGTGATATGAGTAGATCATCCTACTTGATTCAAAATGCATATCAGAAATATTTTTAAACGGTACTGTCTTTTCTCTATCATTATTGACAATTTTATTCTCTCCAGTTAGTAACAGGCCTATATCTTTACTAGGACTCTTTTGTTCCTAATATATTTTTAAATCCTCATTATTGTCCTTAGCTGTGCCAGATATGGATTTTTTTCCTGATCTCTTTAGCTTCCGTTATCAATTCTCTGCACTTCATAACTTCTTATTTTTATTGATTGCCATCTATTTCTCCCCTTTTCCATGTGTTATATGCTAATTGCTGCTTTCACTTTGCTACAGAAGCAGGATGGTCTTTTATTCAAAGTTGTTGTTTTTTCTTGATTGTGGAATCATCATCTGTCATAAGCACAGAAATAAGTCTACTGCTATGGGCTTTTGCATTCCTGACCACTCCTTTTAGAAAAACAATTTTGAGGTAAATTTACCATTGGTGAAATACGGCAGGCTGACAGCTGTAACACTTAATGGTCTTTTATTCTTGGAAGAGCTGAGGAGCTTGGGTTATAACCGTCCTTGTTTTGGAGAAGTTGCTGCAGTTTTTTTTCATTAAACAACCACATGAATGTTCAAATATTCTCACTAGTTCTGGGATCAAATATAGCAAATGGCAGCGAGTAGATTAGGGATTCTTCTAGACTGCAATAATAGCAGGGGGATCAAATTAGTAGACATTTGTCCCATGGCACGGTTAAAATGCAGTTGTCATGTGAACAGGAATCTAACTGGGTCACAACCTCAAACAGAACTACAGCTTTATATAGAGCACAGTTGTATCATGGTCCAGGGTCTACAATTAAAACAGTCAGTACAAGACACAATCATGTTTCATCTGTGTTTGGGCTGCTGTTTTGTACATGGTTGTGGTTATGGCTGAATTTGTAGATAGTGCTGTAGGGGGTAGGAGATTTCATAGTTTGCAGTTAGTGGCTAGTCTGAACAAAGGCTTTACCCAGGGACATATTGCATTCTTTATCAGTAGTAGTCTTTAAATCGAGACTGGATGTCTTTCTAAAAGATATGCTGAAGGTCAACCACAAAATGTTGGGCCTAATATGGAAATCCCTAGGTGAAATTGTATGGACTGTTATGCAGGAGATCATGTTAGATCATCCCTTCTTATCTTAAAATACAGAAAAGAACATGATCTTAATATCTCACTCTAAAGCTATGTGTATATTAGCTTTCACTTTTTGTTGGTAAACATTTGTTGGTCAAGGGTGTTAAAAACATTCTCCTGACTGACATAAGTTTCATTGGCACAAGTGCTGGTATGAACAGTGTTATTTTGGCAAGCCAGGGGCTGCATCCGGCCCCCAGGCCTTAGGTTCCCCTGCCCTACACTCACTCACTCACTCACTCACTCACTCACTCACTCACTCACTCACTCCCCAGAGCAAGAATAGATTCCTGTGCTTGAGCCTGGCAGACTGCCCAGAGTGGCAATCCATGGAGACCAGTCCATGGAGTAGTAGGGTTACCAGATGGCTTTCAAAAAAATACCAGGCATACATGATCTCAGAATGGGGTGGGGGAGACTGGCCAGGATGGGAGCGGGGCTGGCCGGGAGGGTGTTGGGGGGAGCGGGGCTGCCCAGGGAAGATAGGGGGGAGAAAAGGCCAGCGGGGAGCAGAGCTGGGCGGGAGAGGGTTGGAGGAGCGGGGCTGGCCAGGGGGGAACCAGCCAGTGTGGAGTGGGGCTGGCTAGTGGGGAGCAGGGTTGACCTGGGCGCACGCAGATCCCGGGGTGTTCCCATCCCACGCACAGTTCCGGCGGGGCCCACGGACAAGTACGGCCCCGGGGATTCTATCTCGGCCTGGCCCCAGCCCTGCCCCCCTCCTCTCTACTATATAGCTGCATACTGCCTGGCTGGTAGACACACTCACACAGTACGCAACTACGTACTGATACTCATGATAACAAAAAAACTTACTTAATTAGAAAATATTTATATGTTCGGTATTTTCTCAATTTGTTTCCCAGACAGAGAGCTCAAATACTGGACTGTCCGGTTCAAACTGGACACCTGGCACCCTATGGAGTAGTGGCCCAATCCACTTCATTATACCTGACTTGTTCACCCTGCAGTAGACCTCTATGTTGTGCTAAGTTTTCACGTTAAGGATTTTGTGCTTGGGAATCTGAAGTGATATGGGATCATGGCACAGCATATATTTGGAAGTACAGACAGAAAATAAGGGGAAGAACATGAGAGTCAGAGCAGTGGGGACCATATAAAAAACCACAGCATGGCTCACTTGACCATTTGCAGTATCCATTCTGTGAGCGATCAATGATCATTGGCAAGTGTCCTTCAAGTTCTAATCCTATTCTGATTTTTATGTAAAACTGCAAGAGTGTCTCTTTTGGTTTGTGGACAGTCTGAACTGAGGGAAGAAACTCCACCCCCTTCCCCTGGTTTCTAAGCAGAGTTTTGCCTGTCTTGACTCAGAGGCAGAGTTTTTGTGTGCGATAGGGTTCTCCCTGAAGCCTGGTTTATATGAGCAGTGGGTGAAGTAGGAATTTTCCCCTACACAGGTTAACAGGAAGAGCTGTGGGTGGAGGGGTGGGGGGGTTGGGATGTGAAGAGAAGAATGTTCTTTTCTGTTTCAGACAGAGTCTTGACCCCATCAACTTTCCACTCCACTCTGGAGTTTCTGAGGTACTGGCTCCTGGCTTTATTGCCCTTGTTTGTTTGTTTTGACTGTTATCTCAACATGTCCTTTCCTTCCATCTGTCTTTTTCTCCACTTGGTCTCCATTTCCCTGTCTTATTCCCCCAATTTCTTATCTGTCTCCCTGTCCTCAGTCTTTGGCAGTCTGTCCTTCCTCACTGTTTACCCAGTCAACATACAGCAGGCTTCAATCATCAGTCACTCCATCCGGTGCCAGGTGAGGCTGGGAGGGGGCCATCTAATTAACCACACAGGAATTCTCCATTAATTCTTTTCCCATCCCTCTTCTTGTGAGAGAGGAATTAGAAAGATACTTGGGCTTGTGGAATGGGGGCTTTAAACATATCCATTAAATGTGCTTTCAGGGCCATCAATCAGACCCAGTCTTTACAGCTTCATGTGGGGTCTGTTACTCTTCACCTTGATCCTACCTCAGCCAGTAAAGAACTTCTCCCACCTTCACCTCATCCCAGTAGTTAAGGGACAGAGAAAAGGAGAGTCATTTTGGGACTAATGCAGTGATTCCCACAGTTAATGGATGGAGGTTTGTGTATCTAAGCAAAGTGGGACCAGGCTTACTTCTCCTTAGGGGCTTGTGATGTACTGGTAGCATGCACATTCCACAGCATAATCATTACCCAGATGTTTTGAGAATTGGCCATTTAAACTCAAGTCAGAGTAAACGCTGAAAATCCCATGACAGTTAACTGAGAGGGATCAAGTTGCAATGTTTTTCTAAAGGAACAAAGCCAAGGATTAGGAAGAAACAAACTATTTATAAAAACATATGCAAGGGCAACAGAAGCAAGAGTAGTTTGAAATTTGACCCAACAATAACCAAAATGTGTTAACACAAATGTATAACAAGGAGACAGGCACATCAGTTACGATGTAGGAAGTATCTGGTGCTTTGAAAATTCAAGTGTAGTTCAGTCTTGTACAGTACAGTAGTAGTCCTTAGGAGCAATGTGGTTGGTGTTGCACAGTTATAGTCCAATTCTCCAAGGCAAAGTCCGGAAGCTTTAGAACAGTGGTCCCCAACGCGGTACCTACAGGTGCCATGGCGCCCGCCAGGCCATTTCTGTGCACCTGCCGAGTGATTGGGGCCAGCCCTGACACCGGGCACATGGCACAGGGGCAGCGCCAGCCCCGGGCGCGCGGCACAGGGGCGGCCCCGCCACCGGGCACACGATGCATGGGTTGTGCCAGCCCTGGGCATGCTGCGTATAGTTGTCCCCACCCCAGGCGCAGGGTGCATGGGCGCTGCTGGCACATGGGCGCACGGCACAGGAGCGTCGCCAGCCCTGGCCATGCAGCTCACGCGTGGCACAGAAGCGGTGCCGACCCCGGGAGTGCGGCGCATGGGTGGCGCCAGCACCGGGCAGGCAGCGTATGGGTGGCTCCGCCCCTGGGCATGTGCGCAGCCCCACCTCCGGGCACCCAGCGCATGAGTGGCCCCGCGCCTGGGCGCCAAGCAGCCCCAAAAGGTTGGGGACCACTGCTTTAGATCATAGATGTTATGTTATATGATAAAGGGCAATCAGTAACTAATATTAGCAGCAGTACTGTGGGATCCCTGAACTAGTTGAGAGATTGGTTCCACTTACACAGTTCTGTTCATAATGGATTTACCACCGAGGAGGCAGATGTGGTTCTATAACACTCTTGTAGCTCTGAGTTAATGAGTTTAAATTCAATGTAATGAGCAAACCCAATCTTTTTCATTTTTTTCCACTGGTTTTGAGCTTTTCTGTTCCTGTGGGTTTTTTTTTAATGCCTGTCTCTCATTATGGTAAGAAGAATCGTGACTCTTCTCTCTCACATCAGCTACATCTACCAACCCCTCTGATGAGGGGGAGGGGCAAACGGGGCAATTGCCCTGGGGCTGGATGATTCAAAAGGGCCCAGGGGTCGCAGCCCTTCTGCTGCTATTGTGGCAGCCAAAGCCCCAGGCTCTTTTAATCGCCCTGCTGTACACTGCAGGTGGCTCTGAGGGTTGCAAGTGGCCGGGCTGCTGCTCACTCCTGGTGCTAAGGAGGGCTAGCTGTCCCATCCTCCCTTCTGCCTGAGAGCCCACCCCTTCTGGGAGCTTGGAAACAGCCCCCACTACCTTGCCTAGGGGCCCACAGAGGCTGTTGGCACCCCTGACATCAACACACATGCTTTTAAGAGATTAATGCATACAGGACTAAATTAAAAAAAAATTAATTGGGGGCTGCACCCCCTGCTCACTATGCTTGCCAGCCCCCTCCTCTCTGGAGGTAGGCAGCCCTGGCTCTCCTTCTGGCTGCTAGGGAGGGACGGGCTGAGGCATGACAGCTCCTGCCTGCCTCCTCACCGCACCGGCCATCAGGCGGGGCTCAGGCCAGGCCAGCCTCTGCTCTCCTCTGCCCTGCAGAGGGGAGTAGGGGCTTGGATTAAAATACCAATTCTAAATTGTGAAGAAAAACAGCGAGGTCGACTCGAGCTGAAGGATTTCGCCTCTTGCTTCACTGGGGAGGAAGGAGAGAGGGAGGAGGCAGGGTGACATGATGATGTCACTCTGTTGTTCCACAGGAGAAGATTTTTTTCTACATAGAGAGAGAGAATTAATTTTGGGTGTCCAACAATTGAGCTGGATTTTCAGAGGTGCTGCACACCCATTGATGTCTGAAAATGAGGATCAAAACAGCTCAAGTTGGGCACTCTAAAAATGAAGCTCTGAAAACTAGTAGTTTCTTTTTAAATGTTTAAAATGTATGCCAGCCATACTGTGACACTAGAAGAGGAAAGTGAAGCCTGGTCAACACTTAAAATGCAGATTGATATATCAAGATTGCTCAGAGATATGGAAAATTCATGCTCTAGCTATGCCAACCTTTCTCCCAATGAAGAATGCTTGACCTAGCTATTACCACTCTGGAAAGTTGATTATCTAGTGACAGAAAACTCCTTCCATTGCTGTACACTATGGCTGGGGCTAGACTGCAGGCTTTTTTTTTAAAAATTTTCAAAAGAGAGCACCCAGCGAGTCTGGATGCTCTCTTTCGAAGACGGCCTCTTTACATTGAAGAACGCCGTCCTTTGAAAGAGGAACTTTCGAAGGAAGGCGTTCTTCCTCGTGAAACGAGGTTTACCGCCATCGAAAGAAAAGCCGCGTTCTTTCGAAATAATTTCGAAAGAACGCGGCTTGAGTCTGGATGCAGGGGAAGTTCTTTCGAAAAAAGGGTACTTTTTTCGAAAGAACCCCTGAGTGTGGACACGGCCTATGTGTGTTTATACTGTGGCTGAGTTTGACACTGGCTTCTTTTCTATGCCATTGTGGTCCCCTTTGTGTAGCTAAGCCCGTAGAATTTATTTTAGTGTTAGAGGAACAACTCGTGTAAAAGTTATATTCAACTTGTAAACACTATGCTGTTATTATTCTCAGTATGCAGAATGGTGACACACTGAAGAAACAAGAACTGTCCTTGGAGAGTGAATGTCTTGCTTGTTCATGCTTAGTGTGAATCTGTTAATTTTCCACATCATTATTACAGTTCCAGCTGTTCCTTTCTGAGAGAGTGACTTCTCCTGAACTTAAAGTTAACAAAGCTCTTGAATGGGGATAGAAGGTAGCGGTCTGGGTACATGGATTTAATCCAAGAGGATATGGACCTAATTCTAGAACTATAGCATCATTGACCTGTTTTATGTATAGGATGTTCTGCTGCAGTGAATGCATCTATGGGCTTTGAGGGGAGAAGACTGGGGAGTATTTCCAATAGTAGGGCCCTTTTCCCCTGGCTGTTTCCTGTGCTTGACTCAGCCCTAACTAGCAGAGCCAGGAACTAGCAAAGATAAAGCGGTTGGCAGGCCCATGTTTATGTGGACCATGGACAGAATTGGTAATGTTGGGGGGATCAGTTTTTACTGACGATGGCAATGCCAAGGCGTTTGTCTATTCTGGGCAGAGAGGACTAGGGGATAATCAAGATCCAGTCAAGTACACAGGAAGAGGAACTCAGTGCAGTTATGCCAGTCCTCAGTGCTTATAAAAGGTTAATGCAGCTCTTGTCTGATTCCATCTGCTCTCCCTGCAGGCTGTATACAAGCTGGCAGATGTGGCTTGCAAGTGCCATGGTGTCTCAGGTTCCTGCAGCCTTAAGACCTGCTGGTTGCAGCTGGCAGACTTCCGCAAGGTGGGTGACCTGCTGAAGGAGAAATATGATAGTGCTGCCGCTATGAGGATCAGTCGCAAGGGCAAGCTGGAGCTGGTAAACAACCGTTTCAACTCACCTACGCAGGAGGACCTGGTCTACATTGACCCCAGCCCTGACTATTGCCTGCGCAATGAGACCACTGGCTCACTGGGCACTCAGGGCCGGTTGTGTAACAAGACCTCAGAAGGCATGGATGGCTGTGAGCTGATGTGCTGTGGCCGGGGGTATGACCAATTCAAGAGCATCCAGGTGGAGCGCTGTCACTGCAAGTTCCACTGGTGTTGCTTTGTCAAGTGTAAAAAGTGCACAGAGATCGTCGACCAGTACGTCTGTAAATGAAAGAGCCACCAAAGCAACAAATCTATATTATATAAATCTATATAAATATATTTTATATTTGTATAAATAAATAGATGATAATAATTAAAGATGCTTATTTAAGAGACATTTTGGTTTTGAAATTTCCACATCGGACTGGCCAGTTTGCCACTCCCTTAATTTAGCTGCGGAGCAAAGGAGGAATTTGCCCTTAGATCCTTCTTCCCCAGAGTGAAGGGAGCCAAAGAGTTGCTCAGAAGGAACTCCCTCATAGCCATCTCACTCCAGAAGAAAAGGGTGGATTCATGGTCAGAGAGGTGAAGAAGGGTGGGTTTCCTTTGCTATTTTATGGTTTAAAACTGAAGTTTGTACGGTGTTGGACATCTGGAGTCATAACCAAACATGGAGGTGTCTTAGTTTTTCATGTTCCAACCCTTTCCTCCCTGCCCTGAAGCCCTTTGGACAAGCAAAACAAGAGGACTTGGACCCATTTTCTGTTCTCTATAAACGACATGCTAGTAGTGCTTTGTTAAACAAGATGGAAAATCACCCAGGGCTCATGCTGAAGAAGAGTATGGATTTAAATACAAGGTACCATATAGAGTTCTTGGAATGAGCCCAGAGCAGGGACTCCTGCACAGTGATGGGGGGACCACCTGTTCCAAGTGAGGAGGAAGGTATGATCTTCAATTGGGAAGTACTGCTGTATCCTGAGAGTTTAAAAGAAATTAGCAGCTAGCTCTTCTGTACCTCAAGGGCAAAGAGAAAATCCTGCCAAAGCTCTGTCTAAGCTGGTTTGTCAAGGAGATCCTTTTTCCCTCCACTGAAACCCACTTTATCTTTGCGGCTGAGGAGTTGCTACCTGTCTCCGGGGTCTATTGGACTCTTTGGGAAAGAAATATACTCCATGAGAGTGTCAGTGGAGCATGTGTGAGAGACATACATACACGCATGCCCACAGGACTGGATGAACACTACACCCCAGTCCTCACCATTGTTGCCATTTCTCTCCTTTGAAGTGGACACTCAAGGTCACGTTGCCCAGTTTTTTGCAATCCTCTTCACTGTCCAAGATGTACAGTTTCTTTTACCATTAAAAAACCCTCACTGAGGTTTCTTTCCCTCTCTCGATTGTGTATGTGTGTTTTCTTTTATTCTGTTTTGTTGTTTATTTCAGAGCCCAGGTGGCCAAACTGTTTTCTGGTGTAAACCCACACCAGGAATTGGAGCTAAAACCAAGGATGAATTTGTTACTAGAATGTGGAATGAAGTCCATGCTGCACCCTCTTGTGGTGATAATGGAGAAAAATGAAAAGTTGTTTGAGCAGTGGCCTATTAGCAAAATCTGCTACTCTCTCTAACTTTCTTGGAATTGTAACAGAATTCAGCTAGTAAAATATGGATAAAACAAATGCAGTTACTAGCACAACATTTCCTGCCCCTCAGCAAAATTCATTTGCATGCGCAGAGGAATCAGAGAAGCGAACTTTAAAATGTAAACATTTATTTATACATCCTTTTTTTTTTTACTGACAGATTTCAAATACACAAAAGTGTCAATGAATGGAAAAGATCCACAGCCCAGAAAATTAAAATTTTGGATCTTTATGGCTTCTATTTCTTATTTATCATAGCAACTTTTAAAGCACCCATTATTTTACAGAATCCACTATTTCAACCATCAAACATGCAAATGCATATTTCATATTTAAAGTATTAGAAGAGTCCAGAAATATACAAGAAAGAAAAAATATGCATAGTGATTAGTTTCCTATTTTTACAGATGTGTCCACTTTTGTTTTGTAATCCAATTTCGTTTCTTATTCAACAGCCATTATATTTGCTGGCATTGCAGAAAGCAATTTCTTGAAATACAAAAGGTGGCCTACATTTATTTTATCATATAAAAGCCAAAAACAATGGCATAGTAATGCAGAGTAACAGAAATAGTTTTCTATCCATGGAAAAATGTGAATACAGTGGACCAACCCACTTCCAATTAAACCTCAATGGGAACTGACCTGAGCCCAAGATCAGTTCAAATGCATGAGCTATCCAGTCTAGGGATATTACACATTTCCTGTTCTGTAATAAGGCTCACTATACATTGGATATGTCTAAAATATTTTTCTCCTTCTAAGCTCACTTGCCTGTTCTCTCCAGTTCTCACTGCATCAGTGCTTTAAGGTGTTACATACTTATATATGGCACCCTTGAGGCATTGCTAATATATCCAGTAATTCAAAGTGTTTTCACTTAGCTTTTACAGTAAAGAACATACATTTAAGGGAATGTTAATGTATACTTCAGCACTGCACCACAGTAAATTTTGTGGGTGTAAACAATTTCAAGTGGAAGTGATGACACAGTGGGGACCTAAGGGAAATGCCAAGTCTCTCAAACTTTTAAGAGAAAGAAACAAAGAAGGAAGAAGTTGGAGGCCTTCTTTTGGAGAGGTATGGAATGAGGTGCCCTACCACCCAAGTTCTCCAGCTACAGGGTGGAAGAGGCTCCATGAACATGCCAGAAAGGATAAAGGACTTGCCATCTTCCCATTAAAGCAGGGGTAGGGAACCTCTTTTTGGGTTGGGGCCACTGTCCCACAGAAAAATCAGTCCGGGGCTGCACAGAAGCAAAAAAACAAAAAACAAACAAACAAAAAAAGCCCCTCACTGAGATGACCCCCAACTGAGAAGGAGAAAGACACTCCACACGTTCCCCTCCCAGAGACTAGCACAGGTTCCCTAATAGTGGGGGTATTGGGAAAGTCAGCCTCAGGGACCAGATCCAGGCAAGCCTAAGGTTCCCTCCCCCTGCATTAAAGTATCAGGAGAGTAGTAAATGATTGGGCTTCCTTCCACATGAAAACAACAGCTGGTAGGAGAGCCTGTTGCTGGAGGATGTTGTTTGAGGCTCATTAAAGGACTTCTTCTACAGGCGAAGAAAAGCTTCCAAACATCTGGATCCTTCTCTGTCTCCCACTTATTTGGAGTCCTTGATCACTGAGAATTATATTAAAAATAACCTAACAGTCACAGGGACGACATAAAAACTACAAGTCAGTTCATCATCTAACTGTTTTTCAGACAATAGTCGCTGGATTTTTTTTATAATAAGCTGGCTTTAAGCTTTCCCAAAGTTCGGGAGGTTGGGATCCAGAAGTTTGGTTCAGCCCATCCCCAGTTAAAGGACAATTTATGTGGGGCACTCACACAGAAAAATGTAAATCAGAGCAGTTGTAGAGTGGCTTAGTGGGTGCAAAGCTGAGGAAGGGCAAGCAGCTGATGAAAACCAAAGAGAAACTACTCCTTGCCAAAGAGGGAAAAAGAAAATAGTAGATTTTAAATTCCACATTGCTAGATAGACCGTATGATCCAAAGGATGGGGAGTCAAGACCTGGGTTTAATTTCCAGCTTTGCCACTGACCTTAGACAAGTCACTTTACATCTTTGTACCTTGGTCTTCGCATGTACCAAAGGAGAGTAATGGTACTTACCTTCCTCTGGAAATCACTTTGAGATGTATGAATGAAGAATGCTAACAACTAATATTTAGTATTATGAATTATTGTAGCCAGTCAGCATTGTGCTGTAACCCTCATAGCTCTAACAAAACAGCATAGATGCAGGCTAGATTGGTACCTAGATGAGGAACATCAAAGAAATACTAACATGGGGTATGTCTACACTACCCCGCTAGTTCGAACTAGCGGGGTAATGTAGGCATACTGCACTTGCAAATGAAGCCCGGGATTTGAATTTCCCGGGCTTCATTTGCATAAGCCGGGCGCCGCCATTTTTAAATCCCGGCTGGTTCGAACCCCGTGCCGCGCGGCTATACGCGGCACGAACTAGGTAGTTCGGACTAGGCTTCCTAGTTCGAACTACCGTTACTCCTCATGGCCATTTTTAAATGCCGGCTAGTTCGAACCCCGTGCCGCGCGGCTACACGCGGCACAGAGTAGCTAGTTCGGATTTAGCTTCTAATCCGAACTAGCTGTACTCCTCGTTCCACTCTTCATTTGCAACTGCGAATGACTACATTACCCCGCTAGTTCGAACTACTTGCAGTTCAAATGCATGATACTTTGTCCTTTCTATCCTAAATTGCTGTGAAGGATGTGTACCCTCTGGGCACATCTACACTGCAGGGCAAAAGTCGAATTAAGATACTTAGCTTAATTCAGCTTTTGGGGCTGTCTTCACAGCAGGAAGTCTAAGGAAGAACAGTCTTCTTTTGACTTCTCTTACTCCTCAGCTGCGTCTAGATTGGCATGATTTTCCGGAAATGCTTTAAACGGAAAAGTTTTCCGTTAAAAGCATTTTCGGAACAGAGCGTCTAGATTGGCACAGATGCTTTTCCGCAAAAGCACTTTTTACGGAAAAGCGTCCATGCCAATCTAGACGTGCTTTTCTGCAAAAAAGCCCTGATTAGCCATTTTCGCGATCGGGACTTTTTTGCGGAAAACAAATCTGAGTTGTCTACACTGGCCCTTTTGCGCAAAAGCTTTTGCGGAAATTCAAGCGGCCGGTGTAGACAGCTGGCTAGTTTTTCCGGAAAAGCGGCTGATTTTCCGGAAAAACTGGCCAGTCTAAACACAGCCCTCCTGAAATAAGAGTTACAGGAGTCACAGGAAGTTCTCCACTTGACAGTATTTTGAAATAATGGCTTGCTGTGTAGACAGGCATTTTGTTATTTCAGAATAATGTGAGTTATTCCAAAATAACGTTGCTGTGTAGATGTACCCTCTGGGACAAATTTATATCACATGACCAAAGAAATGCACAGCATTACCCATTGCTATCATCTGCTGGTGTACAAACAGCATCATGCACACTTTCTCACTAAGCTTTTATTGAATTTCATTTTAAGATACAGATTATATTGAAGACTCTATATGAAATAAAGTTCCACTGTGTTCTAAATTTGTAAAGGGAAATGCTACATACATGAGCTGATCTGACATATTCTACCTCAGGCAGGGCTGGGGGAGATGGCTCATTGGAGTAAGCATCAGATTTTGGTAAATTTCAATTTCCTGAAACCTGAATACAGACTTTTCCAAGGTCACAGTAACAGAGGAAAAAATAGAATCCCAGATTCCCAGTCATGGGCAGCATTCACTGGACTGCAACCACCCTGCTCTATCATCAAAGACAAACAAATAAAATGCTTAAAGCCACCAGAATACACACAAGGCAAAACAGATCACAAGCATGTACTTTAAACCCAAGGATAAAAATAAAAACAATATAACAAATATGAAGATTAAAACTTTGTCATATCTTCCGTTTGCCAGACTTCTTCCTGCAGGTTTTGAAGGGGTAGCTGTTTCTATCCCACTTCTCTCTCTCCCTTTTCAGATGGCACAAGAGATCTACAACGCTCATCAGGAGAATGAGAGGGGGTGAAAGGTACACTGGCACCTGCTGGAACACAAAGGAGAATCCTGGATACAGAAGACAGCTACATCTCCCCTCCTTCCCCAACACTGGGAGATAGCTGTAAGAGGGCCATAAATGTAGTACTTTAATGAGATACACTGGCTCCCTAAAAACTAGGAAGAAAGTGGGCAGGGCCATAGTGTGCAGGTCATATGTGCAGGTCAAAAGACACACGTACTTAAGAAAAAATGGCTTGAGGAGGGTCCTGGATACAGAAGACAGCTACATCTCCCCTCCTTCCCCAACACTGGGAGATAGCTGTAAGAGGGCCATAAATGTAGTACTTTAATGAGATACACTGGCTCCCTAAAAACTAGGAAGAAAGTGGGCAGGGCCATAGTGTGCAGGTCATATGTGCAGGTCAAAAGACACACGTACTTAAGAAAAAATGGCTTGAGGAGGGTGTTGTTCGGGCAGGGGGGGACTAACCTGCTGAGTCTGCCAAGAACTTTTGAAGTGTGGAAGCGTCAAGTTCCCATCTTCTCTCAACAAAATGGAATCTGGGAAATACAGATCTTGGGACTTCTGGGATTTGTAGGTCTCCAGTGGAAGACATGCTGAGAAGCGACAGCTTCTTGCCTGATAATAGGAGTGTCTGGGCAGGATGATTCTGCAGTGGGTTTTTCTTATTATTGCAAATAAATTCTGGTTGTTTACTATTTACTTTAGCCACCAGACCTCTGGTGAGAGAGTTTGGAATCTTACCAGGAGTGCCTGGGAAAAAGATATCTGAGAATGGGACCATTTTGTTTGTTTTGAACTTTATTAAAAGACTCTGTGCTTGTTTGGACTTTTCCACCAGATCTCTGGGAAGAGTCAGGGTTGTAAAAAGAAAGAAATGCCCCAGGGACAGGGCGGTATTGCTTGGTTGTTGTTTTTACATTCAATACGCATGGCCGCCTGCAGACATCAGCCTGCCATACAACCATCTGTGACAATACTTAGAAATGGATAGTCCTCCTGTTCAATGGAAGCACTAGTTTCTTTTGAGTACTCCCTCATCTAGATGTGCTGAAGTGGAAAGGTATGGTGAGTGATCACCTGTAGACTTCCTTTGATGTGAAGCAGCAGCAACAAGAGGCAAAATTCTCTAGGCTATAAACAGCACAACATTATCTTCAGAAGATATTATTAGGATGGAGCAAGACCTTTGCATACGACCATAGGTGCTGCACCCCCGGGTTTGAAGTGGTTTCCATTACATTGAGGTTTAAAGTTTGGTTGAGTAGCTCTCGGCACCCCCACTATACATATTGTTTCAACATCCCTATTTATAAGCATGAGAGACACATTTAGAATACAGTAATAAATCCATGGCTATCAAGGACAGCTGTCACAACTATGTGCCACCCTAGACACAGCCCTGGGGAGGAATTATGACTCAGAAAGGTATTGATTGTGGGGGAAGCAAATTACTGAAGTTTTTGGACAGAGCAATCTCTAATTTCCACCCCTTCTGTCATCTCTCTTTCCTCTTCCTTGTAGGAATGTAGAAGCAGCTTCTTTTCAGCTTTCTCTCTCTAATTAAGCCCAGAATCATGAATGCAGCAGGTTGTGGCATTGCCACATAAGGACAAAATGACAGTCTTGCCCATAGAACCACAAATGTGAGATGTGAAATGTTGAATTTTATCTCAACATTCTTAGCTATTTTGTCCTCCAGCACATGAACATCTTTGGAGAGTCTAGAATACAGCATTCTATTAACACCAATATGGTATTTAAAGGAATAATCAATATTTTTCTAGGATACAGAATTTGTTTCAGTAGTATTGTAGTAAGTTTCCACCTCAGTTCAAATGGGTAAGTAACCTGGAACACCAAGAAGCTAAGAAAACAATTCTGAATAGGTTCCAATCAGGAACAAATGCCCAATACGTTTAATAAGTGTAGCACTAATTTTTGTGGACTAGCTGGTTAATATATTTTTTTCTTTTACTTATTTTAATTCCATTGCTCTCCCACCTAATACAGTTTTTAGACAGTTATAATTTCTTTCCTTAAAATATCAGAGGGGTAGCCATGTTAGTCCTGAATCTGCAAAAGTGGTGAGGAGTCCTGTGGCACCTTAGGGTATGTCTACACTACAAAGTTAGTTCGAACTAACTTTGTAGTGTAGACATACCCTAAGGTGCCACAGGACTCCTGGCCACTTTTCCTTAAAATATTATTTGAGATAGACATATTTAGTTCTTTTAATCATTCCTCAAAAATAGTTCCTTATTTTTTTCCTCTCCTGAATTTTATTAAATAATTCCTCCATCTAGTCCATATTTATTTTGGGCTGTCACTTATAGAAAGACATCCAATCTTAAAGATGTCAAGTCTCGGGGAATCCATCACGCATTTCTTGGCAAATTGTTCCATCAGATAATTATCGTCACTGTGAAAAACGTACAGCTGATTTCCAGTCTGATTTCACATCCTTTCAGCGACTAGATCTTCTTTATGCTTTTGTGTGTGTTCAAGTGCCTCGCTGCCATCAGAAAACGTCTCATGTCGGTACATAAACCTGTGATCAAGTGACCAGTGATTAGTTAACCTTCTCTTTGGTAACTACACAGCAAAGTGGGGCAGAGAAAGGCTCTTCTGTCTCACAGAGCAGGGAGGAGTCCTGTGGCACCTTAGGGTATGTCTACACTACAAAGTTAGTTCGAACTAACGGACGTTAGTTCGAACTAACTTTCATAGGCGCTACACTAGCACTCCGTTAGTTCAAACTTAATTCGAACTAGCGGAGCGCTTAGTTCGAACTAGGAAAACCTCATTTTATGAGGATTAACCCTAGTTCGAACTAGCTAGTTCGAATTAAGGGGTGTGTAGCCCCTTAATTCGAACTAGTGAGAGGCTAGCCCTCCCCAGGTTTCCCTGGTGGCCACTCTGGCCAACACCAGGGAAACTCTACTGCCCCCTTCCCGGCCCCGGACTCCTTAAAGGGGCACGGTCTGGCTACGGTGACTGTGCCAGGTGCAAGCCTGCCAGCACCCAGCCCGCAGACTCTGCACCTGGCACGGCATGAGCCAGCCACCCGCTGCCACCCAGCCCTCCGCCTCTTCCCAGGACCAGGCCTGCCCGGGGCTGCAAGAGGCAGGCGCCCGCCTGGTCTAGTGCGGAGAGTGTTGACCTCATCGAGGTTTGGGGGGAGGCCTCCAACGTCCATGACCTCTGCACTAGGTACAGGAATGCGGCCATCTAGGGCAGGATAGCTGCCAGCCTGGCCACCAAAGGCCACATGCGAACCCAGGAGCAGGTTTGCATGAAAATCAAGTTGGTCCAGTGAGACCCCCGACCCTGAGCCCTGAGCTTAGAACATAAGAACATAATGTAGTTGTTAATGGGGGGTATTTCTGTCTTTAATATAGATCATAAGCTTTCAGTTAGGGTCTGTTTCAGTGCTCAAACAGACTTCAATGGGTTTTGGATTAAGATCATAGTGAAAAATATTTTTATTCTTAAGTTGAATCGCCCTTTGAAAAACTAAGTTTAAATTACAGGGAGGGAGGAAGTCTTATTAACAAAGAAAAATTTGAGAGCTCAAAAACTAGTTTAAGAGATTTGCAAACCCTCCAGAGACTCCAACATTTACTTCATCTCCTTTATACTCTCCTCTTAAAAGAGGAGAAAAGCAACTTACTCAGAATACTAATTAATTTAACTCGGACTGGAGTATGTAACACAAGATGTTTTACACATAAGATGGATAAGTCTTATTCCTATAAAAGTGTGCAGGGGATTGTAAAATGCAAAGGAACCCTGGACTATTGCTGTACTTTGGGAGTAATATATTTCAGAATAAATCTACCGTTAATTATTGTCCAAAACCCAACATTTTTCATATTCATGCTTCTTTTGTGTTCAATTTCCATAAACAAATAATTAAGTTGTACTGGTATGTATGTCCATACCAAGGAAATTTCCAAGTTGCAATCATGAGGATTATTGGCAAGACAGTTTAAAATTCATTGGTATGAAAATGTCTGATGGAACAACAGACTGGGAGAAACCAAGATTAGGAAAGGGTGGAGCAAAACCAGTGCCATGTAACTTTTCTGACCAATTGCAAGTACTAACACAGTGCCAAGAGCAAACATCACATGCTCTGAGAGCAGAAGAGTAAAGCTGATAAAAAACATAGGTGTTGTTTTTCAGCAGTTTAGTTTTTTGGAGGAAATTCCAGAAGTGAAAATCTGTATAAAAAATAGAAAATATCAGCCAAACACTGAAAAAATCAATTTAGAATGTTGCCTCAAGGGGGTTATAGTTTCTCAACAAGCAAAGCTTCCTGGTCAGAGTCAGAATTTCCATAATGCATCCCACTTTCATTTTAGAGAATGGAGTTACTTCAGCATGTAAGTCCCTGGCTATGATGCGATTTAGGACCTATAATAGCGACGAGGAGTCCTGTGGCACCTTATAGACTAACTGAAGTGTAGGAGCATAAGCTTAAGAAGGCAAAGACCCACTTCGTCAGATGTCATGCATACACACGAGGGGGCCAAATTAAAGCAGCACAAGCAACCTTAATTCTGGTACGTGACTTTTCAGAGGTTGACAGTGCAACCTAAACCTTCTTTTAACGTGTCTCGCAGAGGAGTCAGATCCATTTCAAAATGGGGGTCGGTTAAGATTTGGAGCGGAGACCAAACCATTCCAACTGCTACGTGCCAGGCAAGGAAGCGCTGTGCCTGGGGCAGGCGGCCCAGCGCGCCCGCGGAAGTGGGCACAGTGGGCAGCGCCACAGCGAGACCCCCCTCAGCGAGGCTCGCTCAAGCGACAGGAAAAGCCCGCGCGAGCGTCACGAGCTTCGTCCAGCCAATCAAGGAGTGACGCCCGGCCCTCGTCACGCCGGCGGAAAGCATGGGGACTCACTACGCAAACGACGCGACCGAACCAAAGGTCAAGGGAAAAGCGCATGACTGCGGCGGCTCACAGCGCGCCCGTGTGCGCCTGCGCACTCATACGCCACCAACCCGGCGCAGACTCGTGTCCGACTACATCACCCGAGAGGCCGTGCGGCAGCCCGTCGGGCCGGTTTCCGTTGTGGCGTGCTCCTGCGCCTGGAGGCTGCGCAAAGGCATTGGCTGGGGCAGCCTCGTGCGATGATGACGCGGCTGGGGCAAGTCCTCCCAGTCGCTAGGCAATAAGGGAGGGAGGAGGAGGCGGTGGCCGTTGCTGCAGCGGGAGGGGGGCAGCGACGATCCCGGGGGCGGTGTCACCGTGGGGCCTCCGGAGTGCGCGGACCGGAGGCGGCAGCGGAAGGAGGAAGTGGCAGGTGAGGGGCTGCGCTGCGTAGCGGGGTGTCTCGGGCCCGGCCTGGGCCTGGCGGGGCGGCGTGTGGCTGTGGGGAGTGGCCCCTTCCCCGCCCGGGCAGGAGCTGTGGGGCTTGGCCCCCTTCCCGTGCCGTTCCCCTGGGGCTGGCGGAGCGGGGCGGGAGGGCTGAGCCTCGGTCACCGTCCTCGGCCCCTAGTGGGGTGGGAAGGCGCCGAGGTTCCCCTCGCCCCAGTCCCGCTGGGGCAGGGGATGCGGGCTGGGGGAGGCTCCGATTCCCCTGGGGCTCCAGCTCTAGCGGCTGTCCCAGGTCCCGTCACTTGGCCCGCTGTGCTGCTTGTGTGTGCGCGCACCACTGCGAAGTTGGGTAGCGCGGCTAAGGAGCGGGCACTCGGGGCAGTGCTGGGGGGAACCTGAACTCCCCCTTCCCCAACAGAGAGCTGGACTGATGCCCCAGCACCAGGGCAGGCGAGAAATCAAGCTGGAGTAATAGGGTTTGCTTGTATTCATAAAGCACCGGGAGAGCCTTAGTTGAAGAGTGCTCTGTATAAGCAGAGTATTGTCATTGATCAGAAGGCTGTCTCGTGGTATGCTAAGCTATGAACGCTGTTGTTTGTCAGCCAGAGGTTTCTGCCGCCTTGATTCTTTTATTGTTGGATTAAAACTCTGTCATATAAGAACTGGGTGTTTTTTTTTTAAGTTTTCCTGCCATTGGGAACTTGTTTACATTCTTAGCATTAATATTAGGTAATTCAATAGCTTCTTCCCTGGGAGCTGGGGCTGGGGGCTTTGCTGTGAGCTCTGCAGTATAAAACTTAGTTTATACTGCAGAGCCCACAGCACATGTAACTGCTAATATTTTTAGTGGCCACATGATTACTGTATTAAATGATTTTTAATATCCCTAGTTTTAAGCAAGGCCTTGATTAAACAACTTGGCTTTTTTTTTTTTTTTTCTGACTTCCCACCAGGGCTGTCCCATGACTAGTGGTAACAGTGTTGATGCTAGTGTGGGGCAGATGCTGATGCCCACTAATGTTTTAATAACTATGGGTGAGATTCTTACCTGCTCTCTAATCCTTTTACACTGGGTGAAAAATACAAGACACTTGTTCATGTAGGTGCCTGGGTTGCCATTGACCAGTTAGGGGAAAAAGTGGTTATCTGTCACAGCACTTGGCAGTGGGCTCATAAAGCTTGTGTTTTATCTAACAATTGGTGAAGACTGACTGTAGAAGCTCTTCAGTTGAATATTCAAGGTAGTGAGTTTTGAGTGATCTTGCTTCGTTCCAGTAGATTATAAAATGAGACTCTTCTGATGGTCTTGTCAGACGGACACTTATGTTGCTTTTTCAGACTCTGCAACATTTCTACGTTCCAGTGTACTAACTATTAGAACACTAATATATTTTTAAAAAGCCATTTCAAAGCTATGTAGTAGTGAGATTATGCAGTGAAATACAGGAAAGGAATAGACTTACTTTCTCCTCTCCGGGAACCCTGTTTATCTACACAGCCTGCCCCCCTCACCCTCCATGCTGCTGCCTCTCTATCAGAGGTGGCAGTGGGTGCAGGGGGGGAGGAAGCAGATTCGGTGCTTGTGGGTAGCCTGCTTAAAGCCAGCTCCTCATGGGCACCAGTTCCCACTGCCCCCTCCCCCCATTGTTGGTTATCAGATCACATGGGTTCAGTACACAGCATTTTATTTTCAAAGTATAGTTTATTAGAAGCAGAAGGAAATGCATGGAAGGGTTGTTTCTTCCCCCCTATTTGGCAAAAACTGTGCGGTTGATATGGAATCTGAGACTTATGATTCTAATATTAGGTGGTCAATCTCAAAACTAGCAGAAACATAAACTTTGCAAGATAACTTGTCCAATAAAATCACATCTGAATCATTTAATGTAGAAATAAAAAGGTCTAACTTTTAACGCATTTTAGGATAAACCTCCAGGTTTTGTTTGAGGATGCACGTAATGGCAAAGACCTTTGTGAAAACAAAAAGCTATGTATTGCATTTCAAGATTGTGTGAGAGGTATTACTGGCCTTTTGGAAATCAATTTAATCTGCTAAGGCTGCTTAGCCCCTCCCAGGGCTCTTGTACATTTCAAAAGCAGGGAGTGCAAGGTCTGTTTGAGTCCCCAGCTCGCTCCAGCCTTCCCACGGTGCTTCTGTTTTTGAAATGCCCTGCTCTTACTACATTTGAAAGGTGGAAATGCTGCAATTTCTCTGCTGTTCCCCTGCCCCTTCTTCCCATGGCGACAGTGCTGGGGGGAGCTGGCTTTTAAGCTTGCTCCCCCCAGCACCGTATCCTGCTCCCTACCCTTGTTGCAGCAAGGGGGGGAAGCGACTAGTCGAGTAACTAGTTGACTACCCGATAAGCATTTGCTTATTGGATAGTCAAACATTCGCTTACTAGTCTACACTTAAAAAGTTAGTTTTATATAACTACAGCATTCCTGGGTGTAGAAAAGTTACATCCTTGCTCCATATGTATGCTGACCTAATCCACGATGTGTGTATGCTTAGGTCAATGGACTAATTCTTCTGTTGATAGAAGAATGGCTCTTAGAGACAGATTACCTTCTGTTGCTGTAGGAAGCATCTGGGCTATTGCACTACAGCAGTGTTTCTTAAACTTTTTGAGGTCATGGAACACCAAACAATAAAATTTTTTTAATGCAGAACACCCATGAAAATTTTCTTAAAACAAAAAAAGAATTTGTTGTCAGACAAAAACAAAGTAACAAAAACAAAGAAGAGGTCACAGCACACCTGCGAGTTGTTCATGGAACACCAGTGTTCCACGGAACATAGTTTAAGAAATACTGCACTACAGTTTTGTAGCTGCCTCCTGTAGCTGAGCTGCTGTAACACCTGTAATGTAGACATTAGGGATGTTAAATTGCAAGCAATTGACTAATTGAATAGTTGATAGGGCGGCACCTCCTTCAAAGCGTAACAAGAGCCCTAAGAGAGCCCGGTGTCATGCTCCTTGCGGCATTTCAAAGTGGCAGTGCTCCATGGAGCCCAGGATGAGCTGGGGACTCTCCCCCACTGAGGCCGGGCTCCATGTGATGTTACCACTTTGAAATGCTGTGGGGAGCCCAGCCTCAAGCTCCACGTTGTTTTTCAAAGCGGCATTTCCACATGGAGCCTGTGGTCAGCAGGGGAGTCCCCAGCTGATCTCAAGCTCCACGTGGCTGCTGCCGCTTTGAAACGCCACATGCAGCTAGGAGACACTCCAGCTGGCCCTGGGCTGCACGCAGTGTTTCAAAGTGGCAGCGCCTCTTGGAGCCTGGGGTCTGGCCCCAGGCTCCATGCAGCGCTGCCACTTTGAAGTACACCTTCATTCTCCCCACTCTTGCTGCTTCTTTCTAATAGAGGGAGTGGGGAAGCGACTAGTCATCTAGCCTGTTGACTAGCCTGTTGACTATCCGGTAAGCATTTGCTTATTGGATAGTCAACTAATCCTTCACATCCCTAGTAGACATGGCCTGGGTTGAGAGGTGATGAATAATTGAACTTAAACAGGGAGGTAAGGTAGCACTGTTGGCACTGATGCTTAAAGACAGACTTTCCTTTGTACATCTTAACTCGGATTTTGAGATTTGTTTCAGTGATTTAATTTACTAGTCAGTTTTACTCCTTCTCGGCATGCATTATATGATTTTGTTTGGTTTTCCAACACTGTGAAAATGTCTAAATCACAGTGTTTGTATCTGATCCTACTGTGGGGGAAGAAGGGAGTGGCTAAAAACAAAGCAATTTTTCAGTCTAAATCTTGGCCCTAGACTTGTTGACTTGCTTGGTAATGCTTGAGTAGACACCATCTGGCATAAAGGGGAGATAGTCATGGAATAAAGATAAACAGATTAGATGCAAGGTTTTGTATGCCTGGTGGCATGTATTAAAATACTTTTTCTTCTCCAGATATATAAGTCTGTGTGTCCTCCTGTAATGAAAAGTTCCTCATGAAGGCATAGTAGCCTCTTTCTTTCCATCATGATCTCCCTGGTTTTCTGAGAGTTGCAGGAGACAACAGTCAGCCAAATAAGAGCATTTGAATGATGGAGAATCTTGGATGCTGACTGGCTGATTATAGGCAGCATGTAACTTATAACACAGTATTGCTTGGTGAAACACATCTTCATACCCATATATCTATAGTTAGTGCAGGGTTCTTAGTACGAAGCTATGTCCCTGTTGGGAAAACTTCCATTAAAATGGATTTCAATACCATTAGGGTACTACCACTTATACTCTTAACTTTGGCCACAAAATTTAATGGAGTCTTCTGAGAATGTGGCACTTGCTGTAAAATGCCTTTAGCAGGGTAACGAATCCCACCGAGAACAGAAGATAAAACCAGGCACTGCTAACGGAAAGAAAGAGGGCTTTGGGATGGCTGGAGTACGGGCCAAAAGTACCTGTGCTTGGCACCTGACTGTTACTGCAATACAAATAATTATAGTAGAGTAAAAGCTTTCTGTTTAAAGTTTGTTTCCAAGTGCTGTAAAGTCTACATGTTTACAAAAATTGCTTTAAAATGGAGTGTCTCATGAGGGTGTGGGGTTCTGTTATTGATCTTAATTTGGGGCTATATGAGCCCCTGGTTCTTGAGATATAGCTCGTGGAGTTGGGGATGGGGATACTTTTCTTAAAGTTGAGATGTTCTGGAGCCCCTCTATGCTCACAGAGGAATCAAACCAGGACTCAAATAAGCACATCAGGATCTTCCATGGTCTACAGTTACCCACAAAAGTGCATGTATCTTCTGAGGGAAACTAAATTTAAAAAATATTTTGCTTTTTCAGTTAAGCTCCTCATAAGCCTTCATGTGGTTATTTCTGTGGTTTTTTTGAGCATGTACAAAGAGGCTAACTCTCTGGATAACTACCTCTACATCACAGGATCTGGGGGTATTTAAAGATATATAGTGATCATTGAATCCAAGCCTCCTCTTCTGAGGCAGAAATCCCCAGGGTAGAAATCAGAAATGG